TGGTGCATTTCACGGACGAGAATCCATAAAACACATTATTAGACTATTTTCCAAGGCCTTGTGATATATTAAACCCGCTTAAAAATTATAATCAAGCATAACTGTGAATTCACAAATGCTACAATTTAATTAAATAATTATATGTGATGCCGTTACGTACGTGCGTTCGTCAATGGCTTGCTTACATTTATACTTTTTTATGGTACACTACTGAATGGCAAAGTTGCAAGTTTAATACAATGTTCTTTAAAATTGTTATAGATTAATCGATTAATCAATAAATTAGTCGATAGCTTAATCGAAATAAAAATAGTCGTTAGTGGCAGCCCTAAATTGTATGCTTGCATAAGTAAGATAGCACTGTAAATCATATCATAACTTAACAAATGATTAACTGAACAGCAAAATCCCACAGACTTACGTTGAAGGAAGCACCAATTCATATCAAGCGCCCACAATATCTTCCAAATGTGGCCGAAATTTGATTTTGCAACTCCAAACACAATTTTTTTTTTTTGAGAAGCTAATCACGTGGCCCATATTAGACACTCTGCAATTGTCTTCTACACAAACCAAAATGATGGCGAATGTTGAGCTAGTATGACATAACCTCATAAATTCCCAGTTTATTAACACATATGACAGTGGGTCAAATCACACTTCATCTAACATAGCTAAAATTACTAACAAACTAAATGACTTGGTAGACGAATAGTTCATTCCTAGTATTATCATTAATGAATGTAAATCTTTGGTGTTATTCAGCAGCATTTTATAAAAGCAATAAGCCAGTTGCGTTATAAAGCAATAAGCCCTGTGAAGCCGTGGTTTACAGTGAATTTATAACAGCTAAGGGGCATGTTAATATACTAAGGGGGTAATAACCCCCTTAGCTGTTATAAATCCACTGTAAACCACGGCTTCACAGGGCTTATTGCTTTTATAAAAAGGTTATTCCATATACGTAGTAAGGTTTCACAAAATAAAACAGAGCAATTTAAGTGTAAGATATTAATAAAAACATTATTCTTCAGCCAAACAATGTAGTTCCTCAGAAATGGTTGTGGTTCCAACAAAGTGGTTGTCGAGCAACACACAAATGTAAACAAAGGTGTATGTTTGTAGAGTAATTTACAACAGCTTCGAACTTGGCTCAACCAATGAGAATCAAGGACCGGAACTATCCGTTTTATAACAGTGATTTTATCACAGCTAAGGTGGTTTTAGGCTAATAACACCACTTAGACATAGTAAAATTCCTGTAACTGACCACTCATGGCTGGCTGCTTTACCAACCCAACAGCAGCTCACAGAATTAATCCGTACGACTATTGAGTGCTCATCTGTCTAGCGGACGATTCGATGAAAAGAAAGCGTCTGAAACTCTATGACCTTTTCCTCTGCGAACACAAAAGGGAAAATATAAGCAGAAAGAGAGAAGAGGAAAGATAAAGGAAGAGAGCGAGGCAGGGAGAAACAGCACAGCTTACAATTTTTTCCAAGAATAATCAAACTCCTCCTCGAGCCGACAGTTGGACAAGGCGGCCTTGGCAGAGTCGAGGGGACAGATATTTGAGTGCGAATCAAAAAGCTGCTCAAAAGCCTTTTCTGGCATCTCAAGGCTAATTCTCAACCCCCGAAGACCAATCACGTGCTATTCCTGTAGCAGAGAAACACTATCCTCCTTTACCGAGAGAAACTGGTTTGTAATGGCACATATCAGTAACAGTGTTTATCTTGTTCAGAGTGGGGTAACCCAAGATGAAAGCACTGAAGGGCCACGGAGAGCTCTTACCTGGGCGGCTGTGGGAACTCATTGTGGCGACAGTGGCGGCTTTCTCTGAAGTGACTGGGTTGATAATAAGAGGAGTGTGTCCTGGCAGATGAGGATGTGAGAAACACCTCACGGCTCCTCTGGGGCTTGTTGGCTGGCCACCATCCACTGCTGAATGGGAAGACGAGTCAAAAGAGGCACGGGACAGGAAAGAAAGGACAATCTCAGAGGCTCATAGCGCCCCCTCTGGCCGTAATCCAGCTCTGTGTGTCGGTTCCTCTTTGCTCGATAAGATTGAACTGTCAAAAGAGCAAAAAACAACAGAGATATTACATAATTGCTGTTTTTCAGAATCTAATGCTGTCTGATGCCTACACAGGCAGCATCTTGAACTGAAGTACAACCTCTCAAGCAAGCAAGCATTTGGAACAGTCTACATATAAAGAGTGCTACATATGAAAAGCATATTAGAAGACTCAACTAGCATTTGATTTCAATAAACTTTTACAATTCACACAATACTCTAAGCGTATAAATACATAGAACACACAAATATTGGGTAAAACAGATAAGTGTTGTTATTGTTAACAAAACTCTAAAAAATAGTTTTCGCTAATTAAATTATAGTTGAAAAAGTATAAATGGATGAAAAATGTAAAAAAATTAAAATAAAAAATGAAATGTTGCTAAGGCAACTAACAGAAATAAGTTTATGCTGAAGTACCAAAATTACTAAAACTTAAATAAAAATAAAGAGAATGAAAATTTAATTAAAACAAAAAAATAACAAAAGCCCATGCATAACAAAATTACTAAAACTTAAAACTAAATTTAAAATGTAATATTGAAAAATATAATAAAAGATAATTTAAAGTACTAATAAATACTATAATAGTACATAAATACTAAACTACAACAACAGACCATTTTAATTAGATTAGTATTGTATTGACTGCATTTAAAAATATTTATATTCGACATTTCTCTCACTTTGTCCAACACCTTGAATATTATTATAACAAAAATAAAATAAAATCTCATAAGTGAATGCTGTTAAAATACTATAAACAGCAACCATCCAAATGGTGCTTTTGCACGATTTGACTTGCAATAAATTTCAATAGTGTTGATTTATGCGGTTTATTTTCATATAAATCAACTTTCTCGCTCTATATCCGGCATCTTGAATGTATTTTGGGATTGGCTTCTGTGTAAAACATGCGATGTCTTAGCATTTGGTCAACGGGAATGCCTTACAATGGTCCCTACGTAGGTAGCACTAGGTTTTGTATCAGAGCCAGATCTGAAGTGCACATCACTCAAGTGGGCTTTTCCTCTACAGTATGCATATTGCATACGTGACAAAGGCCAGAACAGAAGGACGCCGTGACACATTTTTGACACGGGGCGGGTGTAAACCACCCTTTACCAATCTGCCACGCTGACACATTCCCTCCCAGCCTGCCATATTTGCTGTTACAAAGCTCAACAGAACTGACAATAACAATCACATCAAGCAGACATAACGCAGCTCGCCCTACAATAAGTGTGTACACATTTCTCCTTATGTCCACCTGGAACAAAGGAACCTGTCTGTCAGCACAGCAACAGTATCTGGAGCAGTCTAGCACACAGCAGGACATCACAGCTTAGCCATGTTATATAACCATAAACATCAGCTGTTCCAAGAGGGAAAAAAAAAAATCACTCTATCAGTCTATGAGGGTGGGTTTACTCCAACACCATGTTTCTGACAAGTAGGGCTGGGACAGGAATCTGAGAAAATTTCCCATTTCAGGACCTTAATTCATTATAATAATTATTTTTGAATTTTTTAAGAAGAAATCCCATCTCACAATAACTAGGCCCAACTATACACAAGTCAGGGTTTAAATCAAAATTACATTTTTATTAGACCAGGAGCATGCATTAAAAAATAAATAAATAACAGGGTCAATTTTAATTTCATTTTGACTTCAGGCCACAAGTAATCAATAAGTGGATGCATGAGATTCATATGTGAGCAAAACAGACCATAATAAATTCTGAAAATGTATCACACAGCATATGAATAATTGGGATGTGCGCATATTTTACTTTAGTGCCGTTCTAAATTCAGTCAGAGCCATTGGAAACACCAGCTGCGATGAGGGAAACCATCACACACTCAACACTCAAGGGCATGCTTGGTTTACATTTACACAAGACAACTCCAAACCACACATCTATGCCCTCAAAAATCACAAATAAAAACGAGACTGCAAGTACTTGATCCCAATTAAACGTGCCAAGAAAAAGTGATTAAATCTTAGCAACTCCCAAAGCTGACGTGAAATTTTCCGCGCACACCAGGAAAAGGTGTTGCATCACAGGCCCCAGAATGAAGCGAAGCATAATACTCCATTAATCTGTTTGTTTTAGAGAAGCACGTCTCTGCAGAACCGCGCACAATCTTTATGGGACGTCTGATTTTCCAGCTTTCCTCTCAAAGTAAGTATGGCTTCTCACTGGGGCCAGGTGGCGTGGATTACATGTACTGGAGGGAGTTTAGTTCCAGCTCCTCCGGCAGTCTTTTGCACTTGCTGTCATCACATGTCTCACATGGCGGCGTTCCCGCCCCATGAGCGTAATAAACAAAGAGCGAAAGTGGACGTGCATGGACACAGTGGATAAAGATCTCGAGTAAGTGTGAGAATGCATGGGTGGAGACTTGGGTCACAATATTTGTGGAACAGGTTGTAGGTAAAGTGTACAACTGAAGAAATGGCTATTTATAATAGTTTTATCAATGCATATTTGAAGAAGGAATGAGAATTTAATGATTCTGGTTCTGATTCAGATTCCCTAAAGATTTTTTTAGTTTCTCAAAAGGAGATAAAAACTAATCAAAACATTTTTTTTTATTGAAGTATCATTTGTAAGAGTAACAGTTACTAAGTTCAATAAAAATAAAAAAAGTTAGGAATCGCTTCAACCAATTCAGTAAGTCATTTCATGATTCAAATCAATGATTCAAATCAGTAACTTGATTTAACTCAATTTAAGACAAACTGACTCGTTTGTTTAAAAAGAAAGAAGTTCAAAAGAATATTTTTTACAAATCAAATAATTTGTTTTCCTTCAGAAAAAACACCATAAACTTAAGATTTTTTTTTTTTTAATTGAAGTATCATTTATAACAGTAATGTCAAAATGTACTGAGAATTACCATTGACATTGTAATTGATACCGAATATTAAAAAAAGTTTAATGTTAATCTTTGTTTAATTTTTAGCTTACAATATTTTGAAAGAAAACAATTCTGGTCCTTTTGAACTAGTTCTATTTAGTGAATTAAAAAGAACTACAATTCACTGAAACAAAAAAGAACTCAGTGAATTGATCAAAGAGGTTCTTGACTTTTTTTGTTCGATGAATAAGTATGAATATGAAAGAATTAATCAAATACCACTTGACTAATTCAGTGAGTTACTGATTCAAAATCATTGTTATTCATTATTCATACATTCTTTTTGATTCTTTTGAGTCATTTGTTTACAAATCAGGCTACTTTTTTTCCTATAAACAAAAACTGAAAAACAATTAAACATTTTTAACACTTAAGTATCATTTTGAGTTACTTAATTTGACTTCAAGTCAAGAAACATTTTTTCGTAATTCAATTAATGATTCAATAAATTAGGGATGCACCGACTGTTCAGCAACCGAAATTATTCGGTCGAAAACAGCAAAGAAATCTCTTTCGGTGTTCGGCTGAATAAGCGAAAAGGCCAAATATGTACCGAAGAACGATGTGACGCGATCAAATAGAGGCATGCACTAATGCAGCAAACATGACAGCAGTGTGAAAGTATTTAAAACTATCAGAGAAAGACAAGAAAATCATTACATCAAGCAGAAATCATTACAAGCATGAAGCACCGACCGCGAGAGACTGTTTAGTGCTGCATCACATGTCTCCGATGAGAAGAGGTGGCTGATGCTGGTGGTTAGGCTACTGTATGATGATTGAAATCGCGAAATAGCCTCAAACGAATAGTAAGTAAACTGCAGAATGTTACAGTTTCTAATGCATGCGTGAATTGCATGTATTGACAGCGCTGCACGAGCTCGCGGTGCCAGGGTTCAAAGCATAGACTATATAAAAACATGAACGTAGTGTCCGTGACGTCACCCGTAGTTTCCTGAAGAGCGGTTTTGAAGCTCAAAGTGGGCGGAGCAGGCCGTCGCCATCTTGGCAGCGCGTCACTCGAAAATGGGCAAAAAGGCGGGAGCTGGTTGCTGAAGCCACGCCCACCTAGCTCGACGGCAGTGTCAGCAGCGGCAATCCACCTGTCACTCAAGTGGCCACGCCCTTAATTATGCAGAACTTTAAGGCTTAATATAATTTAAACGGATGAGTTAACAAATTC